AAGCATGAAAGTTCGCCTTATTCGGCCTTGATTCACCGTGTCCAGGGCACAGTTTGTGTGAAGATTGCCTCTATTATTGATGATCCTAATGCGAAGCAGAGGCATTTGAGGAATGCGATTGAGAGTGCTAGGAGAGCAGTGTCGCTGTCTCCGTACTCGATTGAGTTTGCGCATTTCTATGCTAATTTGTTGTATGAAGCAGCGAATGACGGGAAGGAGTACGAGGAAGTCGTGCAGGAGTGTGAAAGAGCAATGGCAATTGAAAACCCCATTGATCCTGCGAAAGAGAGCTTACAGGAGGAGAGTCAACAGAAGATATCCCCTGCTGAAGCTCGAATATCTCATATACGCGGTGAGCTTCAAAATTTGATTCAGAAGTCAAATTTTGCTTCCATTTCTTCTTGGATGAAGAATATAGGAACTGGGGAGGAGAAATTCAGGCTAATTCCAATTAGGAGGGTCTCTGAGGACCCAATGGAATTGAGGTTGGTTCAGGCTAGAAGGCCTAATGAAATTAAGAAGGCAACTAAGACACCTGAAGAGAGGAGGAAGGAGATTGAGGTTCGGGTAGCTGCCGCTAGGCTGTTACAGCAGAAGTCAGGAACTGTCAAATCACAGAATGAGGAATATACTGGTTTGGACTCAACAGCAGGATCTGGGCAGAGAGCAGGTGAGAGGAGGAAGAGTGGAAATGCAAGGAAGACTGCTTCTTCCACGGAGAGAAGGAATTTGGTGCAATCATATTGGAATTCCATGAGTTTGGATGTGAAGAAAGAATTGTTTAGTATTAGAATTTCAGATCTTAAGGCACATTTTAGTTCATCTAAGGATCGTTTGGCTATTGAAGTGCTATCTGAGTCTCTTGCATTTGCCAAGACAAATAAAACTTGGAAGTTCTGGACATGTTGCCGCTGCAGTGAAAAATTTGCAAACTCGGAATCACACATTCATCATGTTGTGCATGATCACATGGGTGCTCTGCTGCCTAAAATGCAGTCAGTTTTGCCTCAAAGTGTGGAGAATGAGTGGGCTGAGATGCTTCTGAACTGCTCTTGGAAACCATTAGATGTTAATGCAGCAGTGGAAATACTTGATAAACAATCAAGATCTCAGGGCCATGGTTTTCTTGATGAGTCCTATGAAAGAGATGACGGGGAGGGGTCAAAGGATGACTTTTTGGAGGCTTTCTGCCATGAAGACGAGTGGGACACATCAGCTAGAAAGAAGAAATTAGGGGATAGACCCAACAGAGATATGGTTGAGAGCAGAAAAAATGATAAGATCTCAGACATTGACTTTATGGATTGTGATGGAGATGGTGGTCCGAAGATTCATTTACTTCCTGAAGGCTTGCCGCTGTCTGATGACCCTGAGCGAGTAAAGCTTCTTGAAAGAATCCATGCTGTGTTTGAGACTCTTATTAAAAATAAATATCTTGCTTCAAGTCACCTCAGCAAGGTTATGCATTTTGCAGTGGAAGAGCTTCAGGGTCTTGCTTTTGGCTCTAAGCTTCTTAACTACAATATTGATCAGAGTCCTCTGTGCATATGCTTTTTGGGTCCAGAAGAACTGAAAAAAATACTAAAATACTTGCAAGAACTTTCTCATTCTTGCGGCTTAGGGAGATATCCTGAGGGCTTAGGGAGATATCCTGAGAGAACTGGTTTTGACGAAACAAGCAATGGTTGTCATGGATTTGACGATCTAGAGAAAATAGTTTTCAGTGAGGATGACACATGTTTGTTGTTTGATAAGCAGTTCCTGCAACACAATCTTTCTCCCAGCTCGTGTCCTAATGCAGTTTCTAATGATAGACCTGCAGCAATTTTGTCTGGTAATCAGTACCAAAATGGAGTTTTAATTGATTCAGATGCATTACTGTCCTGGTTATTCACTGGTCCATCAAGTGTGGAAGCACTGGCATCATGGACACGTGCAAGAGAAGAGAAAGCTCAACAGGGTATGGAAATTCTTAGATTGCTTGAGAAGGAGTATTACGACCTACAGGGTTTGTGTGAGAGAAAATCTGAGCACCTAAGTTACGAGGAAGCACTACAGGCAGTAGAAGATCTTTGCTTAGAAGAGGGTAAAAAAAGAGAACATGAAGTAGAATTTGTCCGGCAAAGCTATGATTCTGTCTTGCGGAAGCGACGAGAGGAGCTCATAGAAAGTGACAGCGAAGTTACGATTATCAGTAGGTTTGAGTTGGATGCTATATCAAATGTTCTGAAGGAAGCAGAATCTCTCAATGTAAATCAATTCGGATTTGAGGAAACTTACGGTGGTGGAACATCTCAATTTTGTGACTTGGAGTCTGGCGAAGAGGATGACTGGAGACTGAAAGACTATCTTCATCAGGTGGACTCTAGCGTGGAAGTTGCAATACAGAGACAGAAGGAACATGTTTCCATTGAGGTTGGTGCATCAGTTACCGTCTAGTGTTCCTTTTTCAATTTTCTGTGTTGCTTTCTTGCCTTTTGAATTTAAAATTTCATGGATGCAGTTGAGCAAAATTGATGCTCGAATCATGCGGATGGTTACCGGGATGCAACAGTTGGAAGTGAAGCTTGAGCCTGCATCTGCCCAAGATTACCGGCAGATTTTAGTGCCTCTATTGAAGTCATTTATGCGGGTATCTACTGTTTTGAAGCACCTATGTTGCTCTTAGGATCATTTACTGCTGTTTGCCTTCCTATCCTCTTGTCGTTTAGCCTTTGTCTTTCTTATTCTGAATTCTGATTAGGATGATTGTTTTTTCTCATTTTTTAGGCACACTTGGAGGACCTGGCTGAGAAGGATGCAACTGAGAAGTCTGATGCTGCAAGGGATGCTTTTCTGGCTGAACTTGCTCGTGATTCTGAGAAGAGTTCAAGTGGGGGAAATGAGAAGTCTAAACATGCCCATGAAAAGACGAAGGACAAGAAAAAAAACAAAGAGTATCGAAGAGCAAAGGATTCAAAGGTTTGAGCTGTGGGTCAAACTTTTGTATCTGAAGCAGTTGTTTATGTATAATGCTGGGAGGAGGTATAACATGTTTCCTCTTTCTTGTGCAGCCTAACAGTGGTAACGAATCACATGTGCTTCACCATGAGATTGTGGAAGATGCGTATGTCTCTTTCTAAAGACCTATTTCTCCATTGACATACACTCTAGTTATGCTTCTGAGCAAACCCTCTACAACCTTTAACACTTTTCACTGGTATGTTTTGGTGCAGCTCATTTGCTGCTCCTGATGGCGATGATCAAGAGAGTGAAATTCCTCAAACTGGTAATTCCTTAAATCTACAGGAGGAGGAGTACAGACGTATGATTGAGCTTGAAGCCGAGGAAAGGAAGCTTGAAGAGACTTTAGAGTATCAAAGAAGAATTGAGAATGAGGCTAAGCTGAAGCATCTGGCCGAGCAACATAAGAAATCTGCAAGAACAATTCAAGAGAATATGGGTGCAGCTATTAATCTTGAAACTTGCCCTTATCAAAAAATGTATCCTGACACTTACTTGAATTGTTGTGATATTGATCAGAAAATCAATGAGCAATTGAAGAGTAGCGAGAAGGTTAACACTCTGATTCTAGGCTTTCTTCTGTTAGAACCTTTGACAATCTGATTTCTCATGCTGTTAAAACTAAGGCCTTGAAATGTCTTGATGTTACACCTCGACGATGCTGCTAATATTATTTATCCCTATGAAACTGATTGTAACATATGACTTTCCTTGATGCAGAACAATGTACTTCCAAACAGTTTAGAAGGTCCTTCAAAGAACTTTCCAGAAGTAATGGCGCAAAGAGATGGTATGGCTCTTGACTAGTGACTGGAATAATTTATACTTCCAAAATAATCTGTACCGCAAGGTTCCAGAGTTAGGATGATGTCATCTGAACATGCTATCATTTTTTCTCTTATTCTGGATTGTCAAACAAAGAGAGTCCAGAGGATGGTGTATTGATATCTGATAAACGATCTGCAAGAAAAGGCAGGCGCCAGAAAGGTTCGACTAAATTTAGTGAGGGGAAGTTTCAATCTGGTTCTTCTGAAAGGGAAAATACTGCAGTTAGTGAATCAAGAGCTCTGGATTCTTCACATGGTGAGTATGTTTTTAGCTGCTTCTTGTTTCTGTATGGTGACTTCTCTTTTGCTTCTCCAACTTGAATGGGTGGTTGATGCTTTTGCAGTTTTCTGCTAGTCGCTGTTATTTTTACCTGTAAAGGAAAGTTCGTAGTGTCAGAATCACAGATTTCCTGGTTGTTAAAAAAAGCTGGTAGTCTCAGAAAGCATTTATTGTTGTAAAATAGGAATTATGCACTTTAAAAGTCTCAGTGCACCTCTTTTTCCTTGCATTCGTTCTTTGGTTCCTTTTTACCTATAATAAAAGTGGAACATTTTGTGGTCGAATCTTTGCCAAGTTTTGTTGTTAGAGAAGGGCTGAGCAATGCCTGGCACTATATGTATAACCCTATTTACCAAAAAAATATAATCCATGTCTTGGTGCATTCAGTCTGTTGGCAGTTTCTCTGGAAATTTTTGGGTTTCATCCTCCACGCTTGCTTGAGTTTAGTCTTTGCTTTAGCATCCAGAAACTGCTAGAAACAGAGGACAGGCATGTGCAGAGGGCAGCAATACTTGATTTTTTTAAATTTCTCTGGCTTTTATTTGTGTAGGTTTGTCGCGGGCTTGTTGGTCTTCTACCTTTTAACATGCTTTAGTAGTTACTTCAGAGTTTAGGGAAAGCTTCTAGTATGTGTATAAAAATGATGATCTTTTTGGATTCAGTTAGAATTCTAGTAGTCCTTATTGACTCCTGTTTTCCAGAAAATATCCAGTAATCTAAACGTACTTATTGTGGCCCTTGAGTGACAGTTTGCCAAATGAAAATGAACAGTTGCATGCTGACGGGGTTCGAATCAATGAAGACTTAGCTCAAGATAGGGCACAATGGAAGAAAAAGATCCATATAGGTGATACTTACTAGTTGAGAATAGGTCTTATACTTGTAAAGAAATTCTACTACTATTATTATTGTTATTACTATTATAGTGTGTGTGTGTGTGTATATATATATATATATTAACTTCTTTTTTACTTTCACTTTTATTTTATTTTGGTATGATGGTGATATAAGATAAGCTGAAAGAAAGAAGTGAGGCTTCATATAGCCGGCCCCATTGGGACTGAGGCGTAATAGTTGTTGTTGCTGCATGTTAAAGGGGAATTCATACATGGTCGATGACTTTAACGTATGCCAGAGTGACTGCATTCAGGAAGTGTCTGTTTTATAGTTTAAATTCCTTCTTGCTTTTTTTTTAATCACCCGGTGTTTAGTTGATTGCTAAATGCGCAAATGAATGTGGGCTCAATGGCAGTGCCTATTACTTTGGAAAAAGCTTCGGGATTGTTGAAGAATGATATTCTCGTGATAACTCCGCCTGTGTCGTAGTTAGTGTCTTCTCTATAACACAGCCGGTCCCAAGCCCGGAGAAAGGAGGAGGGTCGTTTTGTTGACCCATTGACTTGAAACACAAGTAGTTTTTAAAAAAAAATATTGAAACAGAGAGTTCATTGTTCAGTTCATCAAAGATAGATTGGCTTGGTTTTATGACGGCTTCTAGGATTGGTACTTTATTGGTCGATTCACACTTATAAGCTGTCTCTTTTAAAGTTGGACCACATACAGTAATTGGATATTTGCAACAAACAAATCAACGTCCAAGCTATTACTGTTGGTATCAGAAACAGTGATTGGTCAACCCCGTCATCTCTTCCATTTCTTCATTGTTTCAAACTTTAGAGGAGTAAGTCATCTTGGTTACAGATGAATGATATTGTAATTGTGGCATTACTTAATCATATGCTCAAGTTGGCATGTTATGCTGTTGCTAAACTGTGAGAACAAATTTAGTACCAGCTCTATGATCCTTTGGCAAAAAAAAATCTTTGGAGTCGCTTTTATAAAAGAAAAACATTTGGAGTTATTTGGGCGAAGTTGAGATCCTATCCCCTTTACTGCCCTCCTCTATAGAAATTAGAAGAAAAAGAGCCAAGCTGGTGGGTGGCAATATGTGCTGTGCCAATATTTTTCCTTTAAATTTCAACTACAAAACTGTTCTATGCTCTGCTCTGTTGAAGTGAACTAAATTCACTACCATTTAATTTCGATCTAGAAAAGAATGGTACCAGAGATAGTGGAACAAAGACATTGAGACAGCTACATGTGGAGGAGGATGATGAAGAAAGGTTCCAAGCTGACCTTAAGAGAGCTGTACGCCAAAGTCTTGGTATGTCTATTATCTTTCTTCTCCGATAACAAGCTCCCCAAGATAGTTTTAATTTTTATTAATTTAGGCTGTCTCTATTTTGTTTTATTAGTAGTCTAGGATGTTCCGTATCTGTATCAAATTCACTGCTTAAGCTTGATGATTAGAAGGACTACTTATCTACCCTTTGTTTCTCCTATCTTCTCTCAAATTGAGACCCTCTCAAATGGTTATGAATTCTGAAGGAAACTGAAAGTGACATACTAGTTTGAGTCTTGAGAAGTGGTGGTGGCGGCTTCTGTTTTTCCATTTGTCTTGAAGAGTTAACTGCTTTATATTTTCCCTCTTCTGAGTGTTCAAGTGACTTCTCCCTCGCTCTCTCTTTTTATGTCAGACGCATTCCATGCACATCAGAAATTACCCTTGAAGGCAAGTTCAGGGGCACAGAGGATGTTCTCTGAAACCGGGGATATGGGTAATGAAATAAGCGTTGGGAATGTCAATGAGATGGATGTATATGGCACTGGGCTAAAGAATGAAGTTGGAGAATACAATTGCTTTCTAAATGTCATTATACAGGTTAGCGTTTAAAAGTGCCTAGTCTTTTGGTTTATAATAAAAAATTTAACTTTGTTTATCGTGTTTCAAAATTTCTTGAATATCAAGTGTCTTCTTTTCCTCGTTTTAGTCATTGTGGCATCTAAGACAATTTCGAGATGAATTTTTGAGAAGAACATCATCAGAGCATGATCATGTTGGTGACCCATGTGTGGTATGTGCTTTATACGACATATTTACTGCTCTGAGCATGGCTTCTACTGAGATGCGAAGAGAGGCTGTTGCTCCTACTACTTTGAGAATTGCCCTCAGCAACCTTTATCCCGATAGTAATTTCTTCCAGGAGGTAAATATGAAACTCTGTTGAGCACCCTCATACATTTCTAGGAGACAGCTTCTTTGAATTCAATTAACAAAATATTGACTTACAGGCTCAAATGAATGATGCTTCTGAAGTACTGGGTGTGATATTTGACTGCCTACATCGGTCATTTATATCAACCTCAGGTCTTTCGGATACTGAATCTGCAGATAGCAGCTGTATGGGCTCTTGGGATTGCTCGAGTAGTGCTTGTATTGTGCATTCTCTTTTCGGAATGGATATTTTTGAGCGGATGAACTGCTACAATTGTGGATTGGAGTCCAGACATCTGAAGTACACATCGTTCTTTCATAA